TATTAGAAAAAGAAAAAAATTAGAAAAGAAAAGAAAAGAGTATAAAAAACGTAAAATAAAAAAAATGGGATTTTGCGGAAGTCACTGATGTTGCCGCCACCCCGGTCATTTTGAGTCAACTTCCCGCCGCTGTATCTCGGTAAGTACTGATCAAAAAAAATTTTTGTTTTATTACCTTCACAAAAATATTATCTTTAATTCTGTAAGATTTTTTTTTTTTTTTTTTTTTTTTTTTTTTTTTCCTCCAAAATTTCTTGGGACACTGGGGCACCACTTCAGATTTTGGCCTTGGACCCTGAAAGGGTTAAGGGAGGCGAGTATATTTGTCCATATGTGGTCAGTTATGGTTGCACTCGTATCACTTAGTCTTGTTGGTTTTGTAATTGCTGGCACGAGTAGGGTATTGTTCATATTGTTAATGAAGTCAGTTACATGTTGGTCATATGTTAGGCCAAGGTTCATGTTGAAGTCTCCTGGTTGTAGTAGGTGGTGCTTATTCATTTGTGTATCTGTAATCAGTGCTGTAGTTTATCACTAAAGGCTGGGATATTAGTATGAGGCATCCTGTATATGGCCAATTGTTATAGGTTTTTTTTTTAAGTTTTTACAGAGAAGTTTGCAAATATATATTTACCATATTCATCATTGAAAGATATGATGTTGCTATATAATAGTTCATTAGAATAATAGCTGGTAATACCTCTCCCAATTTGTTCTGGCCTGCAGTTGTGGATTGTTGTGTATCCTGGTAATGTGTAGATGTCTAAGAATAATATAGGAGAAGGTCGTCTCAAATGAATCTAGGAGTGCCAGGAGGTCATCATAGTGTTTACTTAGGGATCTAATATTTTAATTCAAAATTGTAATATTTCTGGTATTGCTGAGGACAGTACTGGCTTCTGCTGGTGTGTAATAAAGGCAGTTGTTTTCAGTTAAATGTTTACTGGGATTTAGATTATGTAGGTTCAGTTTAGGGTCAATTTCAGCATTGAGCATTTAGGGTTGACTGGTAAATATTTAAATAATTATGAGTTGCAGAAAGTGATAAAGGGTAATATTAATATCTGTAATAGGGGGGGTGATTGAACAATATTGGCATAAGTGTATATTGTTTCAGTAGACTGTAGATACTAACAAACATTTAGTGATATAGTAGTAATGAAATATGATGAACGATTAAGACTAGATATTTCATTAGCACCTAACTGTTATTTCACTAATGACTGTATACGATAGACAGTAAAAAAAAATAAGGTTATAATCAGTAGCACCTAGCTTTGGATTGTATTGCACTAATTTTATTATAGACTGTACATAATAGACAGTTAAAAATAAAGTATAGTTCTATACTAATAGGGGATGGTAAATGATAGTTACAAATATAAACGTAAAAGAGTACAGTGGACCCCTGGTTAACGATATTATTTCACTCCAGAAGTATGTTCAGGTGCCAGTACTGACCGAATTTGTTCCCATAAGGAATATTGTGAAGTAGATTAGTCCATTTCAGACCCCCAAACATACACGTACAAACGCGCTTACATAAATACACTTACATAATTGGTCGCATTCGGAGGTGATCATTATGCGGGGGTCCACTGTATAAGAAAAATACATTGTATAAAAGATGAGGTAGTGTTTGAGCAACTTTGAGAATTAACTGCTGTCAGATTAACAAATTAGAAATGAAAATTAGGTTTTATAGAGAATAATTTGATAAAAATTTGGGGTTTCATAATGCTAGCCATGGAAAGTGGCTACAAACTGCATTTTATTGACTTAGTGAGGCCAGCATCACATAGGAATTTTGCTAACAAACACTCCATCCTAGCAGTCTTTTTTTTTGATCTCAAGAAGGCATATGGCACTGCTTGGAGGTATAACATCTTAGCCCAGGCCCACTCCTTAGGCCTCCACAGTAATCTACCGACCTTCCTTGCTGCTTTCTTATCTGAAAGACTTTTTCGTATCCGTGTTGGCGCCTCACATTCCTCAGACTTTGTTCAGGCGTAGGGAGTACCACAAGTTTGTGTCCTTAACACTACCCTTTTTCTCTTGGCTATAAATGGCTTACCTTCTGTTCTTTTATCGCATATTTGGTCGTCAGCACTTACGCAGGCGCTGACTGTTGCCTGGTAGCGGCCTCCCTTCAGGATGCAATTGACCATGTTTCCCATTGGACCACTTCTCATGGATTTAAATTTTCTAGTGTGAAAACCCACTTCATTACCTTCACTTGATGTCCTCTTGTCCCAGATATTCCATTGTATTTACATGGCTCACATATCCCAAAATGTGATATGGTCAAGTTTCTTGGCCTTCTATTTGATCACCGGTTGATGTGGAACAGTGACGTTGCTAGGGTTGGTGTCACCCGGGGTGGCATCTTTGGTGTCGCCCCCATGAAATCCAAGGGCAGGGGGATGAGGGAGAGTAAACTCCAGTTACGTCACTACTTCATACCCAGTGACTAATGTTCAGCAATGAGAATGTTTAAGGGCCATAAACCGAGCAGGAGATTACTCCTCAACTTTATTAATGATAAAATAAATAATCATAATATTATTGAGGAAACATAAACTCAAATACCACTTTGAGTACAGGCAACAGATCCTAGATTTATTCATCTTCAACAATGCAAAAAATAAAAAAAACTTGAAAAATAAAGAAAAACATTGCAATATCAGAGAAACACTAGTTCCGATTTGACCTTGAGTACAGTTAACATCTCATTGAATCAGATCTTGCATTTCCTTACCTTCAATCCTGCAATATCATCTATCACATAATGAAAATCAATGATTTTCCCCATATAGGCCTATTTGTACCCTGTAATCATATAAGAGGCTATATAGAAATGAAGGATTTTTCTCTTATGTTGCTGCAGCACTGTTTTGGGCATTAGTGTCACCTTCTTTAGAGGTTCTATGGTGTCACCCCTTGGTGTCACCTGGGGTGGCCCACTTCCCCTTACAATGCTACTGACAATGACACCGGTGGCCCGGTGGTCTGGTGGCTAAAGCTCCCGCTTCACACACGGAGAGCCTGGGTTCGATTCCCGGCGGGTGGAAAAATTTTGACATGTTTCCTTACACCTGTTGTCCTGTTCACCTAGCAGCAAATAGGTACCTGGATGTTAGTCGACTGGTGTGGGTCGCATCCTGGGGGACAAGATTAAGGACCCCGATGGAAATAAGTTAGACAGTCCTCGATGACACACTGACTTTCTTGGGTTATCCTGGGTGGCTAACCCTCCGGGGTTAAAAATCCGAACGAAATCTTATCTTATCACATTTCTTCTTTGAAGGCAGCTTGCCATGGTCAGCTGAATCTTCTTAAAAATTTTGTGCCGTTCATGGGGAACAGATTGCCGGACTCTCCTCCGTTTACATTCCATCCTAGTCATGTCCAACCTGGATTATGACAACCAAGTCTGTTCTGCGGCTTCTCTTACAACTCTTTCCAAGTTAGAGCCCCTTCATCATCAGGGTCTACATTTATGCCTTGATGCCTTTTGTTCATCTCTTGTTGAAAGCCTCTCTGCTGAGGCGAATGTTCCTTCCTTAGCCGATCATTGTGATGCTCGTCGCCATCATTACTTTGTCTGCTCTCATTACCTTCATGTTCCCACTACATATAGGTTGGTCTCAGCCATTAGTAGAAGCCTGTTATTTGTTTGGTGCCCCTGCTTACTCCAACCATTTTCTCTTCGTTTTCACTCCAATCATCTTTCCAGTTGCCTCCCTTGTATGTTCATGTAGTGTCTGCCTTTTCTCTTCCCTCTTGGGAGGTTCTGATTGTTCGTATCTGTTCTCCCCTACTGCCGTGCGCTAAAGCTCTCCTACCTACAGCTGCTTCTTGCTCTTTTTCTTGATCACTTCCAGTCACATGCTCATGCCATCACTGTGTTTATATAAATGGTTCTGAATCATGTGACGGTGTTGGGTTTGCGGCGGTGTTCCCTGACAATGTTGTTTGGGGTCATTTGTTAGACTCAGCTAGTACTTTTACCTCCGAGTTGTATGTCATCCTCATAGCACTTCTCTGTATTACATATGTGTCTCCTTCAGCATTTGTGATCATTTGAGATTCCCTCAGCACTTTACAGGCCATGAAACAATTTGATTCCCTTCATCCATTGGTCCTTTGTATTCAACTTTGGTTGCACCATGTGGCTAGCAAAAACAAAGACATCATTTTCTGTTGGGTTCCTGGACATGTTGATGTGCAGGGCAGTGAACAGGCGGATGCTGCTGCATGGTCAGCAGTACGTGATTTTTCTGGTTTCCTATAGAGGTATTCTGTTCAGGGATTATTTTACAGTCATCTTTGCCCATCTTCATGGCTGTTGGCAACAACAGTGGTCAGACATACACCATAACAAATTGCACTCTATTAAGCCGCTTTTAGGTTTGTATCCATTTTCTTACCACCATTGCCGTACTTGGGAGACTTCGCTCTCCTGTCTCCGCATCAGCCTTACTCACTTTACCCATGGGTGTCTCATGGAATGACACCCTATTCCTGTCTGTGAGGTTTGTAGTTTCCCTAATTTGGTTCTTCACTTACTTGTGGATTGTCTGGTTTACCAGCGAGCTCGCAGGATTTACCTCCACCGACGCTGCTGCCCTACCACTCGTACCTTATCTTCCCTTCATGCAGATGGCCCTGCCTTTGACTTACTATCACTTTTTGACTTTGTCAGCAACTGCCTTACTATACAATCTTTGACACATAGCCCCTAGTGTCCGTTCCAGCCCTTTTCTCCCCTCAACTCTGATCTCCTCTCTACCTAGCTGTTTATAGCCCCGGCAGTATTTTCTGCCCCGCAGCGCTGCATGACCCTTGTCAGTTTAGCACTTTATTTGATTATAATAATATAATATGAGCTTATAGTATATAGTATATGGAATTGTGGTTGTTAGTCAGTATGTAATATTGGTAAAACTCTTAATGATCATTCCTTAAATCAAAACTAATTTTATGCTCATATGCAACAGGTCTGTTCAAGCACCTGTCTCTCGTGTAAAATCCTCTGAAAGTCACTCTTCAGGTGGTAACAGTACCAGAGGTTCAGGTGGGGACTCTCCAGGAGTATTTGGAAGCCACAGTGACTCTGGAAATAGCAGTGGGGCAGCCAAGACTTGTGCATCCACCTCAACCAGCACGTGTGCCAGTTATGGGTTAGTGTCACTGAATTTATCATTGAAACTAACATTTTTGTATATGGTGCTCCTCGATTTACAGTGGGGTTATGTTCTGATGAACTCATCACAAGTTGAAAATATCGTAAGTCGAATATGAATGATACAATAAATAAGTACAGTGGAACCTTGTTTTTCGACCGTAATCTGTTCCATTAGGTCAGCCTAAATTCGAAGCGGCCTAAATTTGAAGCAGTATTTCCCATAAGAATTAATGTCAGTACAATTAATCCGTTCCAGACACCCAAAAATACTCACAAAAAATACATTTTTTAAAGATTAATTGTAGTTTTTACTTAAACGAAACAATGAGAACTAAATAAAATTAATAACTAACAAAAAGGCACAATACCGTGACTGGAACGATACACAAATAACCCGCACATAAAAGACAGAAGCTTACGATGACGTTTCGGTCCGACTTGGACCATTGACAAAGTCACACAAAGTCAGTGTGACTTTGTCAATGGTCCAAGTCGGACCGAAACGTCGTCGTAAGCTTCTGTCTTTTATGTGCGGGTTATTTGTGTAAAATTAATAACATTTAAATCACTATTACATACCTTTATTGAAGACTCTTGTTGGCTTATGGAAGACAGGGAGGAGAGAGGGAGGGTAGATTATTGTTTGGAAGGGGAATCCCCCTCCATAAGGACTTTAGGTAACAAGTCCTTCTCTGGGGTTACTTCTCTTCTTTGTCTTTTAATGCCACTAGGACCAGCTTGAGAGTCACTGGATCCCTGTCGCACAAAATAACTGTCCAGAGTGTCTGTTTCTGGTGTCTCTTCAAGATTTCCCTAAAATGGGGCAAGGTTTTGTCACTGAACATGTTGCAGATATGGCATGCTTCAGCTTGGTCAGGGTGATATTTCTCCACAGAAGTTTGCACCTCATTCCACTTTGCACAAATGTCCTTAATCACTGAAGAAGGCACATCCTTCCCTCTCTCTTCCTCCTCCTCCTCCTCTGAAGCAAGTTCCTCAGCTGTGGTCTGTTGCTGCTCCAGTTGAAGGTGTTGCAGCTCTTCAGTGGTTATTAGCTCTTCCCTGTGGTCCTGTACCAACTCTTCCACATCCTCGCCACTCACATCCAACCCCATAGACCTCACCAATGCCACAATAGATTCCACAACAGGCAGAGGGTCGACAGGGTAAGGGTCAGCCTCAAGCCCTTCAAAATCCTCCTTGAGGACACAGTCTGGCCATAGTTGTCTCCAAGAAGAGTTCAAAGTCCTGGAAGTCACTCCCTGCCAAGCCTTACCTATATGGCTTATGCAATGGAGGATAGTGAAGTGATTCCTCCAGAACTCTCTTAGTCAATTTAGTGTCCAAGGTCACTTCAAAGCACTTCTGAAACACTGCTTTTGAGTAGAGTTTTTTGAAGTTAGAAATGACCTGCTGGTCCATGGGCTGGATGAGGGGAGTAGTGTTAGGAGGCAAGAACTTCACTGTTATAAAACGGAAATCCCTAGACAATAGGTCTACCAAGTTTGGAGGATGAGCAGGAGCATTGTCCATTACCAGGAGGTACTTGAGTGGCAGTTTATTTTCCAGGAGGTATTTTTTCACACTCAGGCCAAACACTTCATGAACCCAGTCAATGAAAAGTTTCCTTGTGATCCATGCCTTATGATTAACTTTCCACATCACACACAATTTACTCTTGACTACATTGTTTTTCTTGAAAACACTGGGATTTTCAGAGTGATACGCGAGTAAAGGCTTCACTTCGAAATCCCCACTAGCATTTGCACAGAACAAATTAGTTAGCCTGTCTTTCAAGGGGTACGTAGAAGCTTCAGCCTTTACGTACTCCTTGAATTCCTGCACAAATTTTTCAGAGGCACGTTTGTCAGAACCTGCAGCCTCCCCATGCCTTACAACACTGTGTATGCCACTACGCTTCTTAAATCTCTCAATCCAGCCTCTGCTGGCCTTTAATTCATTAACATCATCACTAGTACCAGGCATTGTCTTTACGAGATCCACATGCAACTGCCTTGCTTTTTCACAAATGATCATCTCTGAAACACTATCTCCTGCTAACCGTTTTCCCTGATCCACAACACCAACAACTTCTCCACATCTTCATTTGTTTGTGATCTCCTTTATGTTAATAGGTTTACTCCTTTTGCCACATCAGCTTCCTTGATTTGTTCTTTCTTTGCCAGGATAGAAGTGATTGTTGATTTGTTTTTGAAATACGTCCTGGCAAGTTCCAGCACCCGTACACCACTCTCATATTTTTCAATTACTTCCTTCTTAAATTCAATAGTGTTTCTCACTGTCTTTACCAAAGGAACTTTACTAGGAACTTTCTTGGGGCCCATGGTGACTTATTTCACAGTTGCACTTAATAAAAAAACACCAAAGACAATGGATTTTAAGGAAATGTTTGGATGAATGCATGGAGTATATGCTCACTCGCCGACAGACAAAGGGAGACTGACTCACCAAAGCCTGGCATCCCGGTGGGAGAGGTAGGCTAATGTGTCTAATACAGCTGATATACAAGGCAACGACCAAAATACGGAGCAAAATTTCCACCGAAAAACTGGCCTAAATACGAATTGGCCGATAAACAAAGTGGCCGAAAAACGAGGTTCCACTGTATATAAATAACCACTGTTACTAAGTAAATAAACAAATAATTACTATATGGTTCTCCTCAACTTACAATGGGGTTACGTTCTGATAAACTCATCGTAAGTTTATTGTAAGTCGAATATGAATGTTACAATAATTAAGTAAATAAATAACAACTGTCACTAAGCAAATAAACAAATAATTACTAAATACCAATAAATAAATAATTACTAAATAGTTTATCCTATCAGTAAATGGACAGTACAAAAAAGTTTTACATACAGTACATTGACTTCATCACACATGGATGATACAGGTAGAGTACTTGTAGTGATATGTTGTGCAGCATATCATACAGCATATCACTAGCCTGGGAACAGATCAACATTCAAAGTTTCATGACTACTGAATGTGCATCACCATCACTCCATCGTAAAGTGAAATATCATAAGTTGAACCACCGTAGAGCAACGAGCATCTGTATATATACGTATATGTTTTGTTAACACCCTAGGTAGTAGGTTGGTAGACAGCAACTGCCCAGGGAGGTACTACCATCCTGCCAAGTGAGTGTAAAGTGAAAGCCTGTAATTGTTTTACATGATGGTAGGATTGCTGGTGTCATTTTTTCTGTCTCATGAACATGCAAGATTTCAGGTACGTCTTGCTACTTCTACTTACACTTAGGTCACACTACACATACATGTACAAGTATATATATACACACCCCTCTGGGTTTTCTTCTATTTTCTTTCTAGTTCTTATTCTTGTTTATTTCCTGTTATCTCCATGGGGAAGTGGAACAGAATTCTTCCCCACCTCGGTGGGATATGGCCGGTGTGTTGAAAGAAAGAAGAAAGATTTTCTTAACACATTGACTACCCCTCTCCAAGACAGGGTGACCCAAAAAAAAAGAAGAAACAGTCTTTCTTCTTTTTACATTTAGTAATGGAAATAAGTCACTCTGTCTGACTTTTTTGGGTTATCCTAGGTTCTCTACACATGCTGCTATGTATGATAATTCTATGTAACTGTATTTGTGTATACCTGAATAAACTTACTTACTTACTTATAATTCCCAGTTGCTTAAGATACATAAGGTGCTAATTCAGGTGCTTAAGTGTTATATTTTCTTTGTTTTATTTTATACTCAAAACCATTACTTTTAACTTTAAAATAATTAAGGTGCTAACTCAGGCACTAAAGTGTCTTATTTTCATTGTTTTACTTTTATATTCAGTAGTGCCATTATTTTTAGATTAAAAATAATTATCTTAGTTCATATATTCATACTTGTTAGTGGTTTAACAGGTTTGACAGGTACTGCAAGGAACTTGCAATCTCATTCATTGATAACTGGGACAAATTCTATGGCAAACATGATATATATGCAAGGGATGGGGTTCATCTCTACGGGGTTGGAGTGGTTGCATTAGCCAATTCAATTGAGGGAGTAAATGATGACTTGTCTAGGACTTTAAACTGATAGATTATAGAGGTATGGGTGTTTGTGGGAAACAATCAGACTGCAGCATTAGGGTTGGAAACAGCAGATATTAACAGGATACCTCAGGGATATGTTTAAAAGACAATATTCAAAATAAATTTGCTAGTAAAGGCAAAGCGATTGATCAACAAATAAAGATAGATAGTAGAGGGCAAGGTTCTTTAAGGTTTACTATACAAATAGGAGTCTAAGAAGTAAGATAGATGAGCTATGATTACTTGCAAGTGCAGGTAATACAGATATTATTGCTATAACAGAGACCTGGTTCAACTTGAAGGATAGAGAAATGCCTTCTGAATGCAGCACACATGATTATAAACTATTCCACACTGATAGGGTCAACAGGAAGGGTGGTGAAGTGGCGATGTATACGAGAGATAATTTAGAAACATCGGACACAGTCTGTTTGGCTACAGTTTCTCGAGGGGCATGAAAAATTAATTTTGAGTGTGATTTATAGGCCCCCAAACCTTGATAGGGAGTACAGTAAGCTGCTATGGGACGAAATTCATAAGGTTAGACGTCTAGATATGAAAATGTTGTGTTACTGGGAGATTTTAACTTTAGACGGATTGATTGGAACAGTGTCACAGGAAATCTTGAGTCTAGTGACTTCCTTGATACTGTTCAGGATTGTTTTTTAAAACAGTTTGTGACAGAACCAACTAGAGGAAACAATCTGCTTGACTTGGTTCTTGCCAACAAAGATTCACTAATTAATAATGTTGAGGTTAATGATGAGCTTGGGGAAAGTGATCACAAATCACTTCGTTTCAATATATTATGGAATTGCCCAGTAAACTGCAATCAAATATGTCCCAGACTTCCGCTTGGCCGATTTCATGGGACCGAAAAATTACCTGGGTGGGCTAAATTGGGATGACCTG